GCGTCTAAGCGATTGTGGTGTTCTGTTCTTGGGTGTAATAACGAACACAGTAATTTTAATGTTCCTAAATCCGAACCGCTGAAGACGCAGTGGCTGAGTTTGTTTTCGAAGGGAATATTCCTCACGAGCAACGTCAATGCTTTCATGTTTGCGCGAATCATTTCTCACCAGACTGCTTTATAAACGAGGATCAGTAAAAAGCTGGATTTGCTAAGAAGCTGCTCATGAAAAAAGTACCGGTACCAGCTATTCGTGTTCCTGCTGAATCTCCAGAAGAACGGAAGTGAGTGTAACGTTTTATTAAACTTTATATTAATATATTAATCTTTGCAAATCGCTAGCTGCACGCTTCACAATGAATGTGTCTAAGGTTTACACTCAGGGTACATTACGGCATGTTTTCTATGTATGACGTTCTCCATATAATTCATAATCCCACGTTTATAATGAACAACGCGTTATGGTTATTGTGTTACAAACGGTGTACGCACAGAACAGAGAGGCGGGGTGAGCAAAGCTCATTATTATTTAAAGTCATATGCACTGAAACGGCGTGCTGAAAACAGAGCTGTTTTTGACCAGGTAAAATAAGTGTTTTCTTACAATACTGATGAGAATTTTTAATTAAAGTATATTACAAACTTTTAATTTAGACCCTAAAGAATCATATTAGCTTGTACAAAAATGGCATTATATGACCCCTTTAAAGAAGCACTTCAAAAAGTGAAAGTGAAAAAAAAAAAAGTTTACATTTACTGTAAAGCAAATATACTGAGCTAAACGTTTTATTTAATACAAAAAATATATATCTTAGAAAATAATTTGGACTCTAAAATTGCTAGAAATGCCTGATTAAAATTAATGGTGGACAGCAGCAGGTTTATTAGACTGCTGTCACTTTAAGGCCGAATCCAATACACTGATAGATTTCCGATATTCTCCAAACTGTTTATGTTCACTAAAGACATAGGCCTAAGCGGCTGTGTTTTCTCGCCAAAACGAAAATTAATTCTGGTGCCAAATGAAGAGAAATCCAGTTTTTTAATGAGATTCACCAAGATATTTTTAGCCGTTGAAGCTCCATATTGGTTGCTTTTGTGTGATGTTAATGGCCAACTTTAAACACTTCATTTTTAACTTGCGTAAGAGGAATTAGTAGTGGATAATGGGATCATCCTTTAGCTTGATATTTAGTGCACATCCTGTTTTAAAACGAACAACATCCATCCTAAGTTTAAAGTGATTTCTACTTAAGGCACTTAAGAAAAGTAGTGCTCTGCTTTTAGATTAAGGTCTTGAGTTTCACACAATGTTACGGTCATTAACAAGAGTTGCTCAGTCTGTTATTAACATTCCCTCGTGGCTCAGTTAAATGTCTAGTTTCATTCTCAATGTACTTCATTTTGCGCAAGCCTCTGCTCTTTGTAAAACTGGGGTTTCTTGCCTAATGAATGATTCATGCAGAAGCGTAGACTCTTTCCACAGGCGATCTGGGATCTTGCTGACACAGATATTACTGCAGCTGCTCCAAACAAACCTGCGAAATTAAACCAGCTGATTTCATAAGGGCTGTTTTACTGTTAACTCAGCTATACTGGTCTTTCAGTCGATCTGTGAAGACACTGAAGACAAAGAAGGATTATTGTGATCATGGCCACGCCTGAATGATAAAGTCATCATTATTCATACCGGATCCCTCATACACACCAGTGTTGACTCAGTCGCTTGTGTGTGTGATTTCACTATTCATGTTGTGAAGAGTTTTGAATGGATTTTAAGGTGTTTGTCTATACAGCATATGGGAGAAATTTAACCTTTACAACTAAAAATGTAGGTTGCTTTATAACATATGGGTGATGGAGATCTTTAGTGATCTGATATTGAGAAAGCTTTCAGGTTCTTAGTTAAAGTGCCCCTATAATGCTTTTTCAGATATGATCTTTCATGTAGTGTGTAATAGAGCTCTTTGTAAATGTAAAAGCTCTGCAAAGTTTTAAAGGTCAAGTTTTTGTCTCCTAAAAGAAAGAAGTGATTCTGAACTGAAACGACTCGTCCGTAATTCCAGTCTCACTTCCTGCTGATCCTGCGTAGGTGTGGAACTAATTTGCATAATGCCAGCCTGTGTTCTTGATTGGCTGAACAGCGTCTCTTAGCTCCGCCCTCAATCACTGTAGTGTATCTGAGACTGGGAGAGTTTGGTTCGTGTTGTTCATGCCGAGAAGACGCTGTTTTCTGCTGACAAAGCAAATCCACTTTGATGAGATTGACACGGTAAAACACAAGCCATCGTTACTGTTCGTATCACTGAGATCAAGAGCTGAGATTCAGATATGATAATGAGCGTTTGCTTTCTGACCAATCAGAGCAGAGCAGCTCTCAGAGAGGCGGAGTTTAGAGAGACTGAATCTTCGATCGAAGCGTTTCAGACACTGTGAGAAAAGAGCTGAAGCTGCAGTGGAGATTATGAGAAAATTTGTGTTTTTTGACATTTGATGCATGTAAACCTGTTGTAGGAGACTCGAACACAATTAGCAACCTTTAAAATAGCATAATAGGGGCACTTTAAGGCAGAAAAACTAAACATTTACAAAATATATTTCCTTCTGATGATTAATAAATAGCTTGACAACATGCAGGTTATCTGTCTTTTGGTTTTTGCTTACCAACTGATTATATTATCCTCTTGTCTTCTGTTATCATGATTTAACATAATGTTTTTCCACGTAGAGAGGAAAACGTGCCATTTGCAACCCATTTTACTTCAGTAATGTGACAGAGTTCAGAGTGAAACAGGAAATTCAATGAGAAATTCTTGATTTAATTGTGAGCCAGACAGAATGCACATTTGCTAAAACTAAAATACTGCCTAATTTAATAATTGGTAATTGCGTAACATGATCCAGTGACCCACTGGGCCCAAGTAACAATCAGAAAAATGAAAGAAATTAAAGTTTTAGTATTAGTTTGATTAAAGATGAATCATTCCCAGCATCTCTAAATGTATCCCATTTAAGTACTAAATAAACAAGCTGACTAGTCAATCCAACTTCATATTCACAAACTGACACATGTCACTTTAAGGAGAGTTTTAAAATGGATAGTTTTGTCCATATGTTTGTGCTGGGCTTACGATCTGTCATGAGTGTGTATTTAACATGTACAGCTGCACTAAATGTGTTTGGTTTTTGTTATAGTTCACAATGTAGGAATAAAACCTTTACAAATTTTTCCCAGCGTGTAGGTTTTGCTTAATGTTTGAGTATGAAACACACATACAACTCTGACGCCCAGATTTACAACACACACACACACACACACAGGATTCCTGTGGGCTTGTTATGTTTGCCATCGTTTCCATCTGCCAACTCCACCCTAGTGAACTCATACTGAGACACACACAGGGTTTATATTGGGCATCCGTCCACTTTATTTCTCTATAACCCCCTACAAATTAACCAAACAATAAATTAAGTGAACCTATAAAGTCAAACACTCATATACAGTGACCCCCCCCCCCCCCCCCCAAAAAAAATGTGGGCATTTAAATGTCAGAATATCCTTGCATTAGATTGAGTATTTGCGCTCAGATGTCATGTCAGTCTCTATGTCTTCATGTTCAACACTAGATCTATTATTTGTTCTTTAATTAATTAAAGTTTGATTTTGTTTTTGTCATCTAATGCAGTGACATGTTAGTGTGTCTTTGGAGTCCAGATATGTTTTCGAGGCCACTGCAGGGCTGGAAACACAACTGTGTTGTTGGAAAAAAGGTCTCCGGCTGTGTTTGACGTCAGAGCAGACTGTCATCATAAACACACAGACACATTCACACACACAGAGCTGTGCGGATGAGATGCATGAGTGCTATTATTAATAGTGTAGAATTATTATTATTATTATTGTTGTTAGGGAAAAAAAGCCAGAAGGCTTTGATTTTTTTTCTCCTCAATCCGAGCCTTTACAGGTTGGTGTGTTGTTGTGAGTCGGCTTTAATATTACATTTCTGAATATATGTACTAACTATGAATTTGAATTATTATTTATGAATTTAATTTCAATAAACCATTCAAAAGTTTGGGTTCCGTAAGTTTGTTTGTTTTTTGTTTTTATGTTTTTTTGAAAGAAGTCTCTTCTGTTCACTAAGGCTACATTTATTTGATCAAAAATACAGTAAAAAGAGTAATATTGTGAGAAAAAAAATACAATTTAAAATAACAGTCAGTTTTCTACATGAATATACGTATGTTAAAGTGTAATTTATTCCTGTGATCAAAGCTGAATTTTCAGCATCATTACTCCAGTCTTCAGTGTCACATGATCCTTCAGAAATCACTCTAATATGAAGAATTGAGCTCAAGAAACATTTCTCTGATTATTATCAATGTTGAAAACGGTTGCGCAGCTTCATATTTTTGTGGAAACCGATTCGAGTATGGATTTGAAATAGAAATCTTTTGAAACATTATAAATATCTTTACTGTCACTTTGATCAATTCAGTGCACACTTGCTAAAATAAAAATAAAAATGTATTTAAAAAAAAAAAATCTTACTTTTCATTTTGAAGTGATAAATGATCAAAGCATCAAACCAAACTGAAAACAAATTGGGGCCAATTTGATGATTTGTGACAAATTTTCACAAATATTATTTATTTAATTATTTTTTCAAATTTTATATATATATATTTTATATTTAATAATTTCAAATAAATGCTGTTCTTTTGAACTTTCTAGTCCTCATCTAGATTTTCACCTCAAAATCACGGTTTACACATAAATATGAAGCAGCACAAATGATTTGAGATCAAATCAGCATATTAGAATGATTTCTGGATCATGTGACACTGAAGAACACTATCGTTGTTGTTTTTAAGATATCCATCATGTATATTTCGATGAGTAATTTCATATTTTGCATGCTGAACTTGAGTTGTGACGTGTCAAGCTGCTAAACGGATCCCTCTAAATGTTTGTTTCTTTCTCTCTCTCCGTTTCTGAAG